AGCTTGACAGTTCTCAGGGCTGTCAGTTGTCTCTGCTGTCACTACACGTCAGGATATTCTTACGTGACATCAGATCATGTGCTGGGCTGTTGTGCTAAGGCCCCAGGAGCCTGTTCACTGGCATTACTCTTGTGTACATGGTGGGTTCTTGATAATTGCTGTATACTGCCTTCCAGTGGAAAGGCACAGCTCAGATGGTAAGGGTGGTCTCCTTGGGCACAGTGATGATTAGGGTCTATCCTTTCCCATGGTGACACTTCCAGGGCAAGAAGTGGTAGCAGACCCATGCCTCTCACACTAAGTCATGTGCTTCTCATGTTTTATCCAGAAGGCGCTAACCAGAAAAAGAATTTGCCCCCCAAAGTGCCTATAACTCCAATGCCAAGGTATTCAATCATGGAGACCCCGGTGCTGAAGAAAGAACTGGACAGGTTGGTAGTGTTTCTCCAGACTTCCTCTTAGGTGGTCTCCTGTGAATAACCAGACCCTGCAAATAGATTGACCCAGCACCTGGCCCTTCAGGTCTGGGAGATGCAGCTGGCCCTTAGCCTGGGAGGGAAGTTCTGCAGTTTGCTCTGCACAGGCTTGAGTAGGGTGAGTGGCTGGGCCTTTCTTAACTCTTACCAGATGTGAGCTCCAGAAAGCTAAGAATGAGGCCCCTGCGGTTACTTGTAGGAAGTAGGTCTTCCTGCTCCATGCTGATAGAAGTGGAACCCTAGCCATGCCAGCCAAGTAAGGAAAACAGTGTGAAATCTGTCACATCCCAAGCAGTACTGCTCCTCAGTCTCCAGTACTTGGTGAAGTCAGTGTTCTCACCGTCCCCAGGACACTGGAAACATCTCTGGATAACCTTTAGAGGAGGCTTAGTTGGCATGTGGCCACATGGTCAGCTTTGCATGCCCGACAAAGTCAGGCTTGTAAGATTTCAGTCCACTCAAGCCACACGTAACTCAGCAGCAGAGTGTGGTGACAGGGCCGCACCGATGGACATTGACGTTCATCTGTCTCCACATGCAGGTTTGGAGTCCGGGCTCTGCCTAAACGCCAGATGGTCCTAAAACTGAAGGAGATTTTCCAGTACACTCACCAGACTCTGGAGTCAGACTCTGAGGATGAGCTCCCGTCCTCCCAGATACCCCCAGAGGTACCTTGCAGCCAGGCATCTACCGCTGAGACCTGCAACCTTTCAAGATCAGGAAGTTACACCCAGCTCAAGGCCACTGAAGGTCTTGGGACTCGAGGATTCAAGGGCCCCACTAGAAGCAAGAGCCTTCAACGACAAGGGAAGCAGCTCAGTGAGAATGTTTCCCACTCAAGCAGGTTGCCAGCTACAGAGCCTTCACACCCTGATGGCGATGCCCTGCTCCCAGACTCCCAGGAATCCATGGCTACCTCTGTGGATGGCAGTGACAACTCCTTTAGCTCTCAAAGGTAGTGGAGGCAGGAGGGTCAGTCACATCATGTGTCCTTTGAGTGGTGGGTCTGAAAGGGCATTAGGGAAGTCCACATGGCTTAAATGTTCATTCCCTGAGTCACCACAGGCCTGAGGAGCTTTGTAGTTTCCTTATGTGCCTGAGCTTTCTGGATGGGGCTGGGGGAGGGAGATCCCACCTAGACTGGCCCGGGAACCAGGAACCACAGAGATGTGCAGGACATCAGGGACATCATCAAGGAGTCCTGTCACATGTCAGGCCCAGCAGAACCGTGGAAACAGTCATCCCCTCAAAGGGCTTCCAGGTCTTGGGGGCTGTAGAAAAAGGGTATCATGTAACATCATTGTTCTTTTCAGCTCCTCTGGTGAGTTTGGAGCTGCCTTGGAGTCTGCAGGTGAAGACAAGGATGAAGAGGATGGTCTTACCGCATCACAGGTAGCAATCCAGGCTGCAGACACCGAGGAGGCGGTGAGGCGCTATATCTGCTCCAAGCCTGCCCTGCACAGGAAGGTCCTGCTGTACCAGCCTCTGGAGCTGGCTGAGCTGCAGGCTGAGCTGAAGCAACACGGCATCCCTGTGGCCATGGGCAAGCTGCTCGACATCCTGGACGCTCAGTGCATCACCTTCACAACTGCTGCAGCCCGAAAGGAGAAGCTCAAACAGAAGAGACGGCAGCCTGCGGGCCGAAAGAAAAAGCATCAGAAATGACAAGCCTCCACCCAGTAGTCCTGCCAGAGGGCCTGAGCACCTAGTGTAAGTCAGGTCTCCACAGTATGTCGCAGGACATGGCCTGTGTCAGTGTAAAGGACAGGAACCCCAGCATACTTTCTCTGCTGCATTCCAGCTCCATGTGCCGCCCTTGGACTCAGAGCAGCCCACCCCCTCAGCCAGTGCCAGTTTTCCCCCTTTGGCCCAACCAGGGCCCCCATCCTGTGTGTTCCTGAAAGGCAGTGGGCCACACCAGTGACTAGTGTAAGACCCTTCTTCCCTTGTCTTTCTGTGTCCGGCACACTCAAGCACAGCTGCCCTGTAGAATATTCTGGGAAGGGCATTGGGTCCAGCCTGCCTTCTTAGCATTAAAACCAGCCCAGCCATCATGGCAGACCAGACACTGACAGGAGACCAGTATGTCATAGTGCTACTCCACCCTGTGCCTGCCCAGATACTTGCCACTGTCACCAGCATTCTTTAAGCAGGACTTTGAGTAGGGCCCAGCACAGCTATGAAGCCCCCCAAAGTAAGGATGTGGACTCCGGGACCAGAAAAAAAAAAAACCAAACAAACAGAAGTTTGGGTTTCCACAGCCTGTGAATGTCCTTGTGTGTTTTAAATACAGTGAAGTTGTTTATATGATGTGCAATAAAAACAAAGTTTTATTTAAAAATAAATAAATAAACCTAGACCCTCCTCTCTGGGAAAGCCAGAGGAGCACACAGTGAGCTTGGGCCCCTCTGCCCTGGTGCCCACCAGAGCCTTTGCACGTGTTCTTATCTTGGGGTGCCAAGACTGCGTACTGTCCACTGTTCCCCAGTTGTTCTGACTGTCTCTGTGTTCACACTAACGGGTCCTCACAGACACTGACTCTAGCTGCTGCTGCTCAGTAAAGTGCCAGGCTGGGCCTGTTGGACCCACTGAGTCAGCTTGCCTTGTTAGCACTGACCCAGAGCTGTGCCAGCCATTCCTTCAGGAGCTGGAGGGTGGCCTGGTGCTAGAGCACCTGCCTAGTGTACCTAAGGCTCTGGGTTCAGTTTCCAGCACTACAACAAGAAAGCCATGACATCAAGGACAGATTCCTGGGAAAGATTTCTGAGCTGATCTTGGAGGCCAGCAGTGTTTAGGGAGGTGAGAACAAAGCTTGGTGTTTGTGGAATGTGTCCTGGTCATGATCAGCCAGAGAGAAACCAGTTCTTCCTGTGATGACCAGGCAGGCAATTAGGAGCCCAGAACCAGGGGTATCCCAATGACAGATTCTTGAACCCCTGAATCTATTGTATCCAGCAACATCCACCTGTTTTTAAACAGCCAGTTGCTGCCTCTGCAGGGAGAGGTTCAAATGAACCTCTGAAGCGAAGGTGTGGCCACCATCCAGAACAGTGGCAGGTAAGCAGGGACCTTCCCACAAATCACCCTGGTTCCAGCATCATAGCACTGGGTCAGCCTCTTGAAACTAAGATGCATGGCTGCCTCACCCCTTCAGTGATGCTGAAGCCACCTGGACCACTCATTGAATAAAGTGAGGAGAAGTCCTCTTCCAGAAACCACACTGTCTTTGTATGGTTAGCCCCACCACAGATGTGCGTTGAACATAAGTAAATCATATGTGTCACCAGACATGGTCTGGGTGGACATGGATGTCTGGGTAATGTGACCAGACCTCCAGCCTGTTCATGTCTGTGGTCAGCCCTTGCCATGGCCTAGGCTTGTCTACCTAAAGCAGTCTGTGTTGAGCCACAGTCTAGCTTGGATAAAAGACAACTAGTTCAGGTAAGGGAAACCACAGGGAAAGGCCCTGACTGCAGGCTGGAAAGCCTTAACATTCCCCAAGTTAGGAAGAACTGAGCCCACTAACTGCCCTGCTGTTTGCTCTTGGGGAACAGAAAGTCTCAGAGTGAAGATGACCCTGGAGAAATGTGTGGTTCGTGTATGTGTGTGCATGCACACACGCACAATTAGAATAGCCCATGTATGGGGCTGGTGGCCATTACTGGGAGGAGAGGAAGGAGCTAGCACCAGGATGTTCCCCAAGATCCTCAGGAAGGAGGTTATTTCCTCTCCTGCCAGATCCCTGGAGGAGGCAGGCTGAGCCTCTTGGGCCTTTTACGTGTGACAGGCCTACAAGGCCTCTGTGGTTTCCAACATCTGGTAGGCACCTGGTACAGGCATCTTTGCTGCACCCTTTGGCCAGGACTACAGCTATGCTCTGCTCTGCCTAGAGCCTTCTCAGGCTTCTCATGGTCTGGCACTGTGTCCTCCAGCTCCTGGCCATCTCAGTGGGCAGAAGTTGTCCTGAAACAGCATTTCTAACCTTCCACCAAAGTCTTCCCCCCTCAATGGGAAACAAGAATTAATGGTCACAGGTGCCTCCCGGAGACATAAGATAGGGCAAGGTCAGAAGTACCTCTGGGATGAGAAGGACATGGCCTAATAAGAGGAAGGCCACAGGGTATCAAAGCCTAAGTGTACAGGCATTCAGTCCTACTGGCTGTTTCTCAGCAGTGTGACCTAAACCCAGGTGCTGACTTCCTCCCTGGTCTCTTGCTTCCCCACCCCCACCTACTGACAGAGTCTGTTGTCAGAGGATGGAGGGTGACATGTCAACAACTGTGGCACTGTGCCCATCCTGAGCACATGCTGTGGGGTTGCTCAGTCCCAGAATGGAGACCTGACATCATTTCTCCACTCTGGGGGATGTGACAGAACCAAAGAGGTGAGCCTGGGGCCAACCAGCTTACCGATTTGTCAGTGAGGCTGTTAGCTTTTAAAACTAGACAGGAAGGAAGGTTGAGGTGGAGGACAGGAAGAGCTGAAGAGCCAGAGTTGCAGCGACAGTGGGTGGGCTCCTGGGGACCGCAGGATGTGGTGGGTCTGTCACTCCTTGCCCTGCCATGATCAGTGTGGTAAACTCCCCTGATCTCTTCAGAGAAGGTTTCCTCAGCTCTGGACAGACCAAAGCCTTAGCCTCAGCTGGCCTGCCACTGACTACCCAAGGCATTCAACTATAACCATGTCCTGTTGACGGGAGCTGAGCTGTGTGCTCCCAGGAGCACACAGGTGGAGCCCTTTAGCACCCTGGAGCACCCAAAATGGCAGGAAGGTAAGCAGCATCCAGAGGACATCAGTGCAGGAGCCAGGGAGGACTCAGGAACAGCTAGCTGGGAGGGAGGGCAGAGGCTCGTAAGGCCTGAGCTGTGCAGGGCATGAGGAGGCTACAGAATGTTGAGCCCTGGGTGCCGGGAGCTGCTGGGGCTGGATGCCTCAGTGTCTGGTAAACTCATGTATGCCCAGGATGATGATCCAGCACAAGTTCTAGGGGAGAAGACCCAGCTCCCTTTTCTTGGTGATGGCATGGGCAGAGCAGGCTGCACTGCAGGTTGTTACGAGTAAGCAGTAACACCATTGGAATCCTGCCCTCCCAGCCTGTGGTCCCAAGCAGGTGACCCTCTTCTTGTGTTCAGTTCCCACCTGTAAGTGGAATCACAACTCCAGCACCTACCCCAAAGGTCAAAGGAAGTGCTACATACAGCTCCTAGGTCCAGCTCCCATAAGTACCCCCTCCCCGCAGGGCGACTAATAGCCACACCCTGGGGTTAGTTAAAACTTGTCATTCTGAGACTGCTAACCATGGGAGGCCTCTGTAAGAGGTCTTGCTGCAAAGCTTCGTGAATGTTAAACACAGGCAGTGTTAACTATGGTATCCACCCATGGACAGGCTTCTAGGCCCTGAGGCTCTTCCCAGACCTCCCCCTATAGGCTGGTATTTCCTCAACCCAGGCTCACCTTAGCCTTCCTGCAAAAGCTGTATCTACCTTCCTGCTGGGAGGGCTAGATCTACCCACTTGCTGGGACTCCAGGTCAGTGCCAAGGTGTATCCTTAGGGCTGAAGTTACTTCTTCCTTTGGGATGCTGATCTCAGAAGCCAGATAGTTGCTATGGTGTTAGGTCAGGCCTCAGAAGGGAGATGAGGGTAGAGAGGAGGTTATACAAAGAACCCAAGGTACTATGTGTGTGGCCAGAGATATGAGAAGCACCCCCTCAGTATCTAAGCCAAGCTAGGTGGGGCAAGGCAGGCATTTGGGAAGGAGGGAATCAGCAGGCTCAGGCCGGGTCTGTGGACTTGGCAGAGTAGCGTGGGACAGAATAGGCTCCACCAGACATAATGCTTGGCCAGAGCTAAGAAGCAATGATCTAGGCCCTTCTAAAACACGGTCGCTGCATCCTCTTGTTCACTAGCAGCGATAAGATTATCTGGTGGGCATCCAATTACAGAAGGCAGTGGCTAGCCCTGGTCCATGCCCTGACAATAAATACCCTACTAGAAAGCACAACAGGGGCCCCTAGCATCCTGGCCTTTGACATGGACAGGCTGACATTGAACTACTTCACTTGGTCCAACTACATTCGTATTTTTGCACAGTTGCCAACTTCAAAAGTCAAGATGTACTTTACACGTAGTAAGGTGAGCTAATGGCCCTGTGTGTGTGTTTGATCACCCCTTAGATCAATGTGTAGAAAAACTGGCACCCAGAGGCCTCTTGTGCTGCCTCTCAGGCAGTACAAGATCAAGCAAGCCCAAGAGAAACTATTTGACATTTATCATTTTAGATTGGTTTGTCCAGATTTTAAGTTCCCTGGAAATGGAATCCCAGAGCATATTCTTCTGTGGCCAACTGTGCAGACATCTGTATGATAGGCTGGGCCAGGTGTGGACATCTGTATGATAGGCTGGGCAGGTGTGGACATCTGT